TGGTTACCAAATGAGAGTAATATTTACATCTTAGAGTGACCACCGCGAAGTCCATGTTTGAATCCAATTTATCACCTTTGAAATGTCCTGAAAAAACCAGTTCGTCGTCATGTACTCCCAATGAGCATACATAGGAGAGAAGATTACCCAACCAACCATCCAGATCTTGGTAATAAACTTACGTGAGTGTTTTTAATTGGACTTTTTGTTCAATTTCAAAGATTTTTTTCACTTCTCCATGTTTGGTATAAAAATTGATAAAATTTATAGTTATATGTTATTTAATTTTATTTAATTTACACTAACTGATTCACTCAAAGTCAAAAATTTCAATATCTAAATTAAAAAATAGAACATCTCCTAACATAAAATTTTATTAGCAGGACATTTCCTTGTTTCCAGACAAATACATTCGAGAATTCTTTTAAAAACAACGTCATTTTTCGTTCTTTTTTGTAATCTCCAATGATATATTACCCCGGATATCAGTAAACACGTAGAGAAACAATCTCATTTTTTTGTTTCCTGAAATAAAGTAGGCTGAAGAGCTGAAAGTAACAAAAAAGAGGAAAATGAAACATTTCAAGAGCAGTCATGACGTCGCCCGATAGACATAACGGTACTCGAAAAAAACGTTGAATAGGAAACAGTCGTCTAATTTGAACCACTTTTACAATCCTCATAGGAGAGGGAAACGATACGAAAAAGTAATATATCTTTTAAAATAGGGGCAAATGGTAATGGTTTGAAAAAATCAAATATACTTGAAACGAAATGTCGAATTATGACAGTTAAAATTATAAAAGCATTTATAGGATCTGTAGAATAAAAATTAATAGTTTTTAAAGAATACTCGTATCTTTAAAGTTTATATCATAAACGCACATCAACTATATTATAGATCGTAAACGTACATCCACCGAGACGACAAAGGGACTTTCCCTATTATGATTAACTGGATTTTAGCAATATATGTATAAACAAGAGACAATTTCAAGTGAGATAGTTGGAAATGGAAACGTCCTGTTTGAATACGGAAATGCCAATTCTATAATATGGAAGTAAATGTTGACATAGTCGTTTAAATACAAGTTGTAGGCTAACTAAACGGTAGTTTACAGGAATATTAACCAAACAGATGCGATATGTGTGTATATTGTTGTTTTGAACGAATTATGGAGTGATTTGCTAATGAACCAGTGGTATCTATTATGTGTACCACCTCCTAATTGAATGTCCCGCACATTTTTAAAGAATGAATACAATCATTTTTTCTACACAATTACTAATGAATTACACAGCTCTAATTACCAATTTACTATTTCTAAAGTGCTGGACTAATTTAAATAAATACTTGGGAATAAATCACACGAAAGTATAACATAAGAACGTACGAATATATTAACATACAGTTCGCCAAATATAGCTTAAAGTGTAAAAACGCGTGACGATCTTGATGCGCATTCGTCAAACGACAGACCTCGCACTCGCACTGACAGTCCAGACCGTTTGTATGTGCGTTCTCACTTCATTGTTAGCGCAGGCAATGGGAATTTCACACTTTCAGCTATATTTGGTGAACTGTATATACGAGTAAAAAAAAAGTAGAACAAAATCTTAGTAGGTAGTGTACTCTTCTCTTCTCCAGGCGGTATCTGTTCTAAAACACCCTCATTTGGGTAAATCGTATATAATCCTATTTTTTGGTTTAATGGTTTCAAAATATTAGAAATGATAATTTCACTATGCGCACACTTCAAAATAAACAATTTGTTTTATTAAAATTTTTGTCTGTTTTTCGTTGCTGTCTATGCAGCTATGGATTTTAGAAAAAATTTGTAAAGCCAAAAAAGTTTTGCAATTAAATGTTATACAAACCCCCTCTGTGGCTCAGTGGTAAGAGCGCCTACCTTTAAACCTAAAGGTCGTGAGTTCGAATCTCATCTGGGTGGAGAAATTTTCGTTTATTAAAAATTAATGAATGAAAATAATTTCTATCCTTGTGCGATCGGTACTCACCGGAGGGACCGCAGACTTCGGATACAATTAGCGTCTCTTAGCAAAGACAATGACGTCGACTTTGCTAAGTATTAAGACAATTACTCTACACACACACACACTACACTAGGTACCTCACTGTACCATGCCAATGATCATAGTTGTCGAGGCATTAACTCAATAATAAAAAAAAATGTTATACAAGATATAATAATTGATTGCAAATTAAAAAAATAATAATATTGCAAAATTAACCAAAAACCATTAAAAACGTCAAAAATCAATGTTTTTTTAATAATATTTTTCAGGAATTTAAAAGCCACATAGAATCTTCAAAAATTACCTAGAATATATGTTTAATATAAAAAAACACTACATAAAATTTCAGCACAATCGATAAAGCAGTTTTTGTAAAATAATTTTGCAATTAATGTTTTGAAATAATTTTTAATTTATTGAAAATTTAAAAAAAATACATATAAAAGGCCATTCAAGCTTTTAAATAAAAGTCGAATTATAGAAATCCGTTGAATAAGAGACCTAGGAATTTTTTTTAACAAATGTACAATTTTTAAGCTAATAAACAAATAGAATATGACAACAGTATAACTGACACAAAAGACCCTATTTGAAAACAGATGGGGCTGGCAACAGTAAAGCATTTAACTACCTTTCTAATATAAAATACTATTATTACTTTTTTTTATTTTTTTTTTTATTTTTTTTATTTTTTTATAATGGCATAGACTAGGTGGCAATTAGCCAGTTACAACATGACTAATACCTCAAACATAAAAATTGAATGACCGTTAAGTACATAAAATATCAATAACGAAGAGTTAATGATATAGATTCATGCTAAATATGGCTTCTTTTCAACATCTTCAGTTTGTTCAAAAAACGGTATACATAATATAATTCAAAATACTGTTTTTTGTATTATCTCAAACTCAAAAAGGTTGGTATAAGTATGTTATTATCAATATTTGTTCCAAATTTTGAAATATTTCATTGTAATATAAACGACTGCATCAAAAAACCTTCAAGGTAGTTTATTAGTCAAACTACTTTTTACACTTTTTTGTCAGCATATCCACATACTCTTTATGTTCGAGACCGATATATGATTTAACCCATACAAAATGAATGTTTTTGTTAACTTTTTGCAGTTCTAAAATCCGTTTTTTAATTGCATATATGATATAATTGTAGGAGTAACTTGGGTGCTTAGACAAAACAAAGGAATTTAAAACAGACAGGTAGTTTGAAATAATTATTGCAGAATCATTTGTAGACTGTGTTAAAAATGTCATCATCATCATCTTTGGCTCAACAGTCCTCTGTGGACAGATTAGCTTTTTAGCAATGGTATTTTCTGGCATTCGTATTATGTGTCCAGCCCATCTAAGTCGCTGTGTTTTAATGAACGTTATGACATCTGGTTAAAAATGTTACTTTTGTAGATTGCGATAGCTTCAGTACTAAATATAGGAAATATGTTATCCAATTTGTACGAATAATTAATATTTTTGGAGGGAATATAAAAAGCACGTCTCACACCATCCTTGGATTTGGAAGCATCGATATATATATATATATATATATATATATATATATATATATATATATATATATTTCTTTGTGATTATTTCTTTTAAAGTTATTTTAATTATTGTTGTTAATCTTAAGAATTTTATTTCTTGGAAAAATGCAACAATTGCAATAATAATGATTAAGTAACTACTTCAATTGGATGGTCAAAAGAGTTTTAATAGACAATATTATACTATTCAGAATATTCCAGTTCGTTGACTTGATTATTTTTTTGTTTCCAACTGCAGTAGAAAGGAATAAATTTCACTAAGGTGTTGTATATCTGATTTTGTGTTGATTATATTATCTGTTGTTGCTATGTGGGTCATTTCTAAAAAAAGTCTTCTCTTATAAGCTGTTTCTTTTTCGAGGATTTTGACATCTGCAAAATTCATTCTGTGGTTCTGGGTGTGAACGTGGTTGGCTAGGGTGCATCTATCTGGGTAAAGTCTACAGTCACTTTTGTGAGTGGTAATACGGTCTTTAAGACGTCTAGAGGTTTGGCCGATATACTTGCCATTGCAGTCCATACAAGGAATACTGTAAACAACATTTGATATTTGGTCATGCGGAGTACGATCTTTCATTTTTGAGAAAATAGAGTTTACTGTTAAAACTGTTTTATTGGCTATTTTGATGTTATCATATGATTTAAAGATTCTAGTTAGTTTTGGTGTTAGTTCCCGTATGTAGGGCAGCACACAATATGTTGGAAGGGTTTGACTGGTAACTGTATTCTGTGAATTTGTACTTGCTATATTAGAAGGTTGGGAGGTAGTTAGATTGATAGATGTTACTGATGTAGTATTATATAAAAGTGTTTTTAAAAGAAGAGGTGGATAGGAATTATCTATAAAGAGATCATAAAGTATTTTGAGATTCTTTTGATGGAATGATATATCTAATTATTTTGATCGATCATAGCTTCGGAATTAATTAACCAATCTAAATGTTTTTTAATACGCATATTTCGCTGAACTTTCGAAGTAAATTTATAAAAAAAATATTAATTGAAAATTGAAAAAGTTTTTCTATCTGTTTATTAGCTTAAAAGTTGTACAGTTGTTTAAACAATTACCTAGCCCCCTCTATTCAATGGATTTCAATGATTCGATTTGAAAGTTTGAATGCTCTTTTATAAGTAGAAAAATTTTGAAGTATTTAAAACTGTTTTTGTTGGCTCTGCATTATTTTGAAAATTAATAACTTTATTCAAACATTTAGATTGCGAAATTATTTTGGGAAAACTACCTGCAAATTGAACTAAAACATAAATTATATTCAGAAAATATTTGTCTGACCACAAATAAAATGGTTTATGTTTACTTGGTTTACGTGTTTAATTTATTTTGCAATTGAATTTCACTTCCGTACCTAAACACTATAACAATTATTATTTTCTTTTTTAGATACAAAGTCAGCGTAACAGCCCGCGACGACGTTCCGTTCTTCGGACCAACTCTCCCAACCCCTGCCATCTTTAAGCACGGACCAGAGTTCAAAGAATTTCTCCTAACCAAATTAATAAACGCGGAAAACGCTTGTTACAAAGCAGATAAATTTGCTAAACTGGAGCTGCGCACCCGCACTTCCCTCCTGCAGACACTTACTGAAGAGTTGAAGCTAAAAACCACCGAATTTTTAGGTGGCAATGCCAATTTGACTCCTGGAACTCCCAAGAGCGACTCCGGCCCTGGATCGAGGTTCATCGATACCGTCAAGAAAGCATGGAGCGCTAGGGTGAAGACCAGTCAGAGCGTAGATAACAACTTGAGTACCAATGGGCATGAAAAATTGTCCAAGAAGGGTTCTCAGCCTACCATTTCAGAGTCGACACCGTCGGTAGGTATTTACATAATATTCGTTTAGCTAGGTTAAGCAATCCTTCTAGCAAAATTTAATAATAATTTAATTGTGGAAAGTACTTATTTAATTCTGTTAGCAAAATATGCATGCTTTTAGTATATCGTTTTAAGGATATACGTGGTTGTAATGGAAATTGATTTGTAGTAATACGGTCTAGCCTCTTAGCTACCTCGACCTAATTCTCCTCCTCCTCAGTCCTAATCCCTTTGGGATGTGGTGACACCATCAGGCCTTTACAGTTTTTTTCACGATTTCCCTCCATCCTTCCCTGTTCTGGGCTAATTGTTCGGTTTCATGTAACCCTTGGTTAATCAATATTTTTGTTTGATCTACCCAACGGCTTGGAGATCTTCCCCTAGGTCTCTTTCCTTTAACTCTACCCTCGACTATCAGTTTTTTAATTGTACCTGTTCTTCTAGCAATGTGTCCAAAATACTGCCAATATCTCTGTTGTATTTGTTTAAGCAATATATCCTTTACTTTAAGTTATTCTAATATCGATACATTAGTGCGATGAACATTTGAAAAGCGTCTAGTTTATTTTTATCCGCTTTCTTTAAGGTCCACGTTTCGGATGCATATGTGGCTATGGAAAAAATGACTGCCCTTACCTCGATCTAATACCTTTTGTATAATACATTAGTCTACTTGAAATTTGGAATGCCAATATATCTAGCATAGTTAATCATTTCTAGGGACATGGTTCTTATCTTTTTCATGGATCCACTTCTATTTCATTTTTATGAACTTCACCTATTTACAGAATAAAACTATTCTGTGGTATAGCATATTCTCTACCGTCCCATTTTAATTTTCGGAGAAATGAGACAGTTCTCAGTATCAGAGTTACTGATCAGTGAGAAGATCTATTAAAAACTTATTGGATTCATTGTAAACTCTTTTTTAGACTCAGAATAAATTATTGTTAGCTTCAAAGCATAACAGACACATAAGCATACATCTAAGTTTCCTTTTTATTTTGTATGGTATACTGAATATTATGTACTATTTTGTTTGCTCAATATTTAAACAATTCAAACTTTTTAGAGCGGCCGGTCCATCTCAAAGACATCGATGAACTCCAACGGCAAGAAGAGTAGTAGCCCGACGTCATCAACAACTTCATCGCCGGACCTGACGGCGCACGCACATGCTAGACCAGCCTTGTCCGTAGCCAGTGACGACTCATCGCTCACCAGCGAAGATCTGGAACATCTGGCTGGAGGATATATTGATAGCGATACTGGTCTTGAAAGTATGTCCAGTGCAGAAACAGCCGCGAAAGCTTGTAGTGTATGCCAAGACAGACCTGGAAGCACGTCTGGACCTACCACTGAAACTCTTATGCAAGAAGTAGTACAGTTGAAATGCGACAAGTTGGATTTATTAAGACAGAATGTGGTAAGTGGTTGCAAAACTTATTCTTTATTCGGGGGTTATACAGTTTATTTTTTCTTTAATGTCTAATTATATTTATATAAAGTATAATGTGCTTAGGATCAGAAATATATACCAAGTAAGGGGATTAGAAGTACATCTTCTTGTGTAACCATGTATATTCAAACAAAACACAGTCTGCGTCGAAATAGGATATGACGCTCAACTTCTGAATTTCAATAAATACGAATATGGTATCTAAATGACATTTCTTAATGTTTCCCTGTCAAAAAAGAGTAGGATGTCCTGGGTAGAAAATCCACAATAAAAACGGAGTCTCTTATGAAAAAAAGGAGAAAGATTTTTTGACAAAAATTAAAAGAAGAAAAGAATTTAAAAAATCTCAGTGGCTTACCATTTTTTCTTTGAAAAAGCTGAGATCATTACCCATATGCGCGCCTATGAGAAATTTAAAATTCCTAATTATGTATCAAAAAAAATGCACAATAATCTACTCTTACAACTCACGAAATTTCATATCTCAGAAAAGGAAGCATTTGCAGACATATGTTTATATAGCAAATTGTTATTATTTTTTGTGCAGAATCACTTACTTAAGTTAGTTGCATTTATTTACTAAATCTCTGTATATTTTACAAATATGTATGTATTATTCAAAAAGGGAAACTTTGAAAACCGAAACTTTAAACCTCTGTAACACAGAAACAGTTGATTTTCATCATTGAGTTACTTTTCTGAGTTACATCATTGAGTCAATTCGGGAAAAATTATACAGTGAATATATTGAACAAATTTTTATTTGAATGTATGTAATTATGAATGTAAATATACAAGATGATAAGGAGATAAGTAGTATTGTGATATTATATTCTCACTTGTTTTTTTTTGTTTACAGAGTTGTCAGAGGGATCTAAAAAGATTGCGTGAAAAGGAATTAGGTCTTCAAGGAGACCTAGCCCAGGCTACCAAGGAAATTTTGAGGTTACGGGAACTACTGAAGGATTACAGCCCCAATGGCGACAGATCTCCAATGTAAATGTTATTATTTCTATTCTTATAGCCTCAAAACTTACTGTAAACTCTTCTAGAAGCCATTTTCTTTTCTTTCCCTTAAAATTATTTGTTCAGTTTTCCATTTTATTTTGAGTTTATATAGACTGTCTCACTTTCAGAATTCCACAATATACAAACTTAAGACACTCTGTTTAGTTTATATTTTCTACAGAATATAGTCTAGAGACATAGATGTCAAAGTGTCAATTAGATGTCCGCACACTCTATACACAGTTGTCTCACTTTACAAAACCAGTTTAGTAATTTTAAAATAAATAATTCTGTATATTTTTTTAAAATGTTCTAAAAATAAAAATAATTTCCAAACATCATTTAAAAAAACAAATATTTGCTATGAAAGGTCCATTTTATATTTTATGAAAAAATATACAGTTTATTATAGAGGTAAAAAAATAGTATTAATAATATTAATAATAAATTCACGTCCGCGTAGGCGTTAATAAGTGTTATACAACTTCTGATTTATTATTGATATTTTATATCTGTACCTCCAATACTTCTAGTTGGATAGGACTATGGTTTAACAAGAACTTTCATGTTTCCAGACATTTTCACAACGTATTTGCAACTCTAGATTATTAGTAATAAAGTGGGACTGACTGTCATAAAAAAATAACAATATTATATTCACATCACATAAAGATTCATATTTCCGTTAATACAACAATTTCTTTTTGTTTTGTGATATTTTTATACATTTATGAACTTGTATTACTTTTTCTTTTGAGGATTTTTATTTTTAGTTTTTAAATAATTTATTTGATGTACAATTATTATGTATATTATTATGAAAATACAAAGTTTACCAGCTACCCTAGGCGATTAAGGTTGGTAGTTCCCATGTTGGATTTTTTGGAGTGAAAACGTTTAAAAAGTTAAATATGACAAGTAGAGTTGTATTGTTTTGAGTCTTCAGGGATGCTTCTATATTCTGCACATTTCTCCTATGTTTCATGATAATGAATATTATCAAATCTTCTTATTGTGCCATTGTCTAACGAAGGTTAGCAATCACTTCTTTAAATGCTTCCCTATCTTTTGGAACGTGAAATACCTGTTCAATACTGAGGTTAGTCCAATCTCTGATATTCCTCAGCCAAGATTTCTTCTTTTCTCCCAAGCCTTTTCTTCCCTCTAATCTTCGTTGCTTGATGACGTGTAGAAGAGAGTATTTATCGTTTCGAAGTATGTGGCCCAGTTAAGATGATTCTTATTTTAATTATGTTTTAAGCTTTGTGTCCTGTCCAATTCGTCTTAACACTTCTTCGTTTGAGACTTTTGCCTTATCAAATACGCTTGCGTTCCTCATTACATTATTTAGCAGGTATCCTAACCACTTTTTCAACTAATTAAATCATTAAAGTTTTGTTAATTTGTTATTACTATGTTGTAACGTGTCTTCGGATGCACATTACTAGGTATCCTTGTCGATGTTCCAGAATAATCTCGCTATTTTCAATATTCTACACAAGGTAAGTAAGTGGTAAGTTTTCGTCCACTCCATCTTCTTGGGTCTTGTGCTAATATAATTTACGCAAATTTATTTTCATTGATAAATTGTCTACTGATTTTGTTGTTGTTGAGGCTTTATCCACATCCGATAGGCGCGTGCGTAGTACTGCATCGGTACAACTCGCCTCCTACTCTCTCTACTTTTTGATCATTCGGCTAATGAATATGGCGTCGAAAAATCTTATTCTTCTCCCAGTGATTCAACACACTTCTGTTTGACAAATTTTGGAGTGACATGCAAAATGTTTTCGTGAAGTTTGAAGTTTACGACAATATGCGTGACATATTTCATTTCCAACATCATGTTTCAAAGCAAGTAACAACATTTACTTTGTCGTTAATGCCTGTGAAAGAAGACTCTGTTTATTTAGTAAAATTTAAACAAATTCCAACCCATCGCAGAGTAAAACCTGTTTCCTAGGGTAATCATAATTATACCAAAGTTAACATTCCCCAAAAATTCTGTTTCAGAAAAATTATTTACTAGGTGTATATAACAAAGTATTTATTAGATATTAAGTTTTTTGTATTTAGAAAAGAGAATAACGAGAAAAACCTAGTTTGTGCATATATTGTTATAGATTCTTTATTTTTACTTTGTTCTTGCGTTTTTTAAGTTTGTACAACGGGATTACTTCATTTCACTGATATTTATATTGTTTAGTTTATTCTTAAATATTATCTACTTAACATATTGCTTATTTGCTACTTTATTTAACACATTTCTTGAAAAGTTCACCGTAATCATAAATAGATTTTAGAAAAGTTTTATGATGATAACAGGGATGTACACAAATATTGACAAAACATAAATAAACTAAAAAAAGTTATACATTTATCGAGATATAATATGGGCGACAATATTGTCAGGGTTATTGGAAAATTACCATTTTAACCCATAATACATAACTTTAATGCTGAATTCGATTCTATCATTAGTTTTTCTATGTTACAATTTTGGCTACACTAATCCAGAAAACATACATACAATTCTATTTTTTTAATTGATATTTTGATCCAATATTCATGGACAGACATAATTATTGTAGTATAATTGAAGCGCCTGAGATCATCACCACAATTAAATAAACTGTGTCTATCAAATGCTTTCGTAATTTTTTACTGTTTGCCTTTACAGTATTGTAAATTAAGAATATCTGCGAAATGAAGGAAACTCAACTGCAATATGTATTACTAATGTTAGGATGAATGTATCTTGTAGGTTGTGTACATAAAGTTTCACACTTGCTTTCTATTTACCAGTTCGTCTTAGATAAAAATGTTTTGTTAACTAAAAAACATTTATGAAAATGTGTGTTGTGTCTGAAAATTCAGACTTAGAATTTTATTATACCTGCTAGAATTTTCAGATGTTGAAAGTACGGGACGTTTTTGAGTTGCACAATATACCAATATTTGGTTGAATGTAACTTTTTTGGTTATTAACCTAATTAAACAAAAATGCTTATAAATATTTATAATAAAAATGTCGTTTGTCTATAATATTATTATCTTTTCAATTCTTTTTACTTACTGTCATACTCATAGATCATATTACTGCTCTCTTTTCAACCAGATCAATTACCTCAAATATTTTTCATTTTAATATTAATTCATGTTCTTTATTCGGAACCAATGCTGATGTCTGTTGTATGCTGATGAATCAATGAGTTGATACTGTTAAAGGTCGATTCAGACACATCAGTTACGTCATCGTCACGGCACCGAACCGGTCCTGTTTGGTCACAGAACTATCAACTATCTGACAGCTGGCAAACTGTTTGTCAACTGATGAGTGTGAATGCCGGCGCCATATTTGTATTAAAGAATATTTTGTATGACGGATTGTTCGGTTCGGTGCCATCACTGTGACGAGACGTGACTGATGTGTCTGAATCGACCTTAAGAGGAACACACGGATCCAGTGTTCATTTTATCAAATTTTTGTTAATAAACTTTAATACATTTACACGCATTGATCTTTTTATCATAAATCCGTTCGCGGCATCCAGTTTGACATTGTCAGAATCACATTTTTCTTTTGTGCACATGCGGCAGTATCAGCCATTTTTCGTATTATTTTTTTGTAAACAAGCATAGGTATGTAGATAAATATGAAGTAACGAAAATACAAGGTTATTATTAACCTTATTATATGAAATAACAAGAAATAATAAAGAACTTCTATCATTAAGTTTTAAGAGCGTAGGCGCAATTTTTAGACAGAGCGAATCGACACCGACTGTCCTATCCCTAGTTTATCTTTCTTTACACAGCAAATTATGTGTAGTAAAATTCTCACTGGCATGAAGGCTTTAAAACTGTTGGTATCTAGTTTATCCAGAATCGGCTTAGCACATGTATATCTGTGAAAAGCTGTGTTGTATAAATATTGCTCAATTAATTTATAAAGACTATTTATTTCTTTATTTATTATCTTTATTAAATTAAAATATGGGACGTTGTCACAAGAAATGTATTAGTGTAAAACGAAGAAATAGACGGTTAGCTCAATTGAAATAAGTACTTTTTACATAAACTAAATTAATTACTTTTGTATTTTTCTAACTGATTTGTAAATATATAGTGAAAATATCATTTATAAAATCTAATATATTATTGGATATTGGATTATTTATATATTCCAATATCTGTAACCAATATAGTATTGGTTACAGACCATAAAAAATTCTGTATCTTGGAGTAAGGAACAAATACTGTTCCTACTGTAAATTATACGGAGAAAATAAAAAACACGTATGTTATAAAAATTGGATAAAAGCTTCGACTGCAATGGAAAGTCAAATAATTCTAGATGGATTTAAATGTAGTAAATACATGCATGGCATACAAATTTTTAATAGCCGATGGAGATAGTAGTGTTGATAAAAAAAATTTAGAAAATAGACCATATGGTAATAATGTTGTTGAAAAAATTAAATGTCGTAACCACATCCTAAGAAACTATTTTACGAGATTAAAAGAGTTTATCAACAAAACGATGTAGTTCCGATGGAAAACTGGTACCAATTTTCTTACAAAAGCTTTTAAAAAATAACGTATTAAGATTAAGAACTGCTGTTACAAAAACAACTGAAAACCATCAACAGTGAGACAAACCAAGTGACTTGAAAATAAAGTTTTTGAAAAATGATATATCTAATAGTCATCTTCATGTATTTGGAAATCATTCAAATTTTGCAGACTATTTTTGTGACATAAAATTATCAGAAACAGATTATACAATACCAATGAAAGAATACAGCCTCTTGAAAGATATTAGCTTATGTACAGCAAGATTAAAATTCCATGCAAATAGTCTTATGAAAAATATGAGTAACAATGCTGGACAATATAATAATGTAACAGCAAAGTTTTTAGGAGGTCAAAGAATAAATTAGAGCTCTCGGGGGTCCTATGAAATGAGATGCCACGCTGCTGCTTTGTCGTACATCTCTAAAGGTCAATATCACCAAGCCCTTCACAAAAGCATCACAGAAAGAAGTCCTGGCGTATATACAAAAAAATTTAGTTCAGTGTGTACCAAAAATACATTGCGAAAAAAATTTTATTACAAAAATTTGCAAAAATCAATCAAATATATAACAAAAAACCATGCTTCAGATGAAGATTATGGGCCACAAGCACTAAAAACGTTAAAAATTGATCATTGAATTAGAGAAAATTAAAGAAAAATTTAGATCGGAACTTCATAAGAATAATGAGGAATGTATTCAATTATCCAATAACACAATAGCTCAACGGAATTCAAGTAAATGGTATTCAGAAAGAAGGAAACGTCTGACAGCCTCAAATTTTGGTCGAATTTGTAAGTTAAAGGTAACAACCGACAAAAGAAAGGTTGCCAAAGACATTATTTTAAATGCTTTTAAAGGAAATAGATTCACAGCCCATGGAATAGAAAAATAATCCATTGCAGTATAAGAATTAAGCGAAATGCTTGTTTAGATATTTGTCCATCAGAAATGAATGTTCATCAGGAATATCCTTTTTTAGCTGCAACACCAGATGGACTCATAGGTAATAATATGATTGTCGAAATTAAATGTCTAATTTCAGTAAAAGATATATGTCCTAAAGATGCGATAGATAGGAAGATACTAAAGTATATGGAAGTGAAAGATGACAGATATATTTTAAAGAGAAATCATGCATATTACTATCAAATTTAAGGGCAGCTATTTGTCGCAAATAAAAACTTTTGTTACTTTTGCGTGTGGACCCCGAAAAGATTGATATTCCAGGAGATTGATATATTAATACAAGAAATAATTGGCGAAAAGTGAGGTTAAAAAATGGTATACCTGTATACAAAATACAAGATGGCGTTTAAAGGAAATACTGTATTTTTACTAAAGCCTACTCAGAATTTCGTAAAAACATGAATTGTCAATAATGTTGAAACACGTTGGTACACTTAATAATAATAAATAATCAGAATGCCCACTCTCAGATGCCGCCTTTAAAGTTTGTCAGCACGCAAACGCCATGTTTTAGACGGAAACATAGACTCGAATTGAGAAATTTGTGACAAGCTACGACATAACTGTAATTTAAATTTTTAGAGATTGATAATTTAGTACATTTGAAACAATTTAATCTATTCTTCAACTAAAAGTACGAATAAAAATATGTGAAAGTGCATATTATGTCTGTAGTTGCCGTAAATAAATTAAACCGGGTAAATTTATCTATGCACATAAGATAAAATATCACTGAATAGCACCAATTCCGACTAAAACATGGCTGATTCCGTCTGCGCGAACGAGATGCGCGTACTTATTTTTTTTTTAGCAGAGTGAGCGTTCTGATTGTTTATTATTCTGCGCTTAAGATATCCTAAATATTGTTTAAACGATAAAATAATTAAACTATAGTCATACGTTCATATACAAAGTGTTCTAAATAAGGAAAAAATATTCTTCTTCTTCATGTACCATGTCCTTTCAGAACGTTGGTTACCATGATAGATATCTTAATTTTATTCACGGCCACCCTAAATAGCATGCTTGTGTTAACACCATACCAATCTCGCAAGTTCTTTAACGATAAGGTTCTTCTTCGTCCTTGACTGCGTTTGCCTGCTATTTTTCCTTGCATGATGTTTTGTAGCAACCTATATTTGGGATCCTCTCATTACATGTCCGAAACACTCCAGTTTTCAATGTTTGCTGCTTTTTATGATCTCAGTAGTCTTGCTGAGACATTCTAGTATTGTGGAGTTTCGAATCTTATCCATCCAGGAAACTTTTAAAATTCTTCTATAGCACCACATTTCGAAACCCTCAAGGCGATTTAGATCGATTTTATTTACAGTCCAGGACTCGACATCATCAAGTAAGACCGAGAACACGTAGCAGCGAAGTAGGCGGTTCTTCAAAGCCAATTTTAGGTCTCTGTTACATAACACCTTGGACATCCTTCTAAAAGCAGCTCTAGCCTGCTCTATACTAGATCTAATTTCGCCGTGATTTTCTGCGTTACAATTTAATTGCTGTCCAAGATAAACAACTAATAATAATAAGAAAAAATTATAAAAAATTTAATATAACTAAAAAAACAAAATTTAATTGTGAAATAATTGTGATATAACAAATAATAAAATAATAATTATAAATAATTGACACCCTGTGTATTTGCATATAACTTTAAATACGTCGGTATTCTCTATTATTACGCCTTACCCACAATTAAAATATTGTTTGGCTAAATTCATTGGTTTAGGAGTTATTATTTTTTTAATGCCCTACAATTTAAGGAAAATCGAAATATCTCCGGAATTACAATATTAAGGTATAAAAAATGCAATAAAATACGGGAGTTTCATAAAAACAAACATACGTTTGATACGTCCACTTTATGAGACCCCTCGTATATTTCAAAATAATTTTAAAATTGCTTATACATTCCCATTGCAAATTTATTTCGAACATTTTCGATAATACATCTGTTTTGAGAGTCGACAGACACGTTTTCCTAGAACTGCATCGACACAGATAAAAAATAATATAATAGTAGGGCATCGACACCCAAAAATTTCAAGCACAGATGTTTTTACCTCTGGTAAACACTCATTTATATGTAATAATTTCTTAGGGTAATAAAAAGCATATAAAACAACCCAGGAAACACACTTTTGAAATAATCCAATAATGATAAGTTATTAATTATGATTAATAGGATCTTATTGCAGAAAATATTTATTACAATTAACATATCTTTTAATTATTAGTTTTTATTTTACTTTCAATATAGGTACCTAATTATTATACTATGTATTTTCTAGAGGCCTATGTAACCACTCTCTTCTATATAAATAGACCAACAATTTAAGTTTCAAGTCTTAAAAGTACCATTGATATAGTCCAAGATAAATATTGTAAATAAACAATAAAGGTACATTCAACTGAAAACTACAACATTGAAAAGTGTGTTAATCATTAAACTCTAAAAAAAATAAACAAAAAATATGTAGATGTGTAAAATGAAAAAACAGCGTTAAACCTCTTCATGAAAAGCAAAACCTTTAATTATAAACTCTTACAATCATCTTTATTATAATATGATGTCAAAAATTTAATAATTCACTCAAGATATGGCATGCGCCACCTTCGTAGCTTTTCATATCTACACCATGGGCACTTTAGTTTATTCCTAAACTCGCATTTACGATTATGAAAACAAACTCTTATAAAATAATACTTTTATTTGAACTTTAATGACTTAATCTGATACTTGGATCTTCCATAAATAATAAACAATAAATAATTTTTTATTAATTTCACATCTTAAATTAATTATTTATTAAATAAACTATTAATATTAGTTAATAAGCAACACAAAATATTCCTGAAGCCGTGTCAAACATTTAATAGCCTTGCCACCACTTTCAGTTCGACTGAGTGCGTTGTATGACAAAGATAGCGAATGTTCGATTTGGAAAATATTACCGCGGACATGGTGTTCATTCTTTTCGAATCCTGAAAAAACTAAAACATATTTTTGAAAAATTTAAACGCAGAATGAAAGATTACATTATTACCGAGGGCCGAAAGTCCCTTAGAATAAACAAAAAGTTTTTTTGAATGAGATATTTGAGATTAAAAATCACACTAAATTTTCTCTTCTTTTTCACCCCTGTAACTAATTAAAATAAACATTATAGAAGTTTTCAGGGACTTTCGGCCCTCGGTAATATTGTAATCTTTCATTCTGCGTTTAAATTTTTCAAAAATATTTATTAGTTTTCTCAGGATTCGAAAAAAAATGATTGCATTTAAAAAGCATTGGTCCGAAATTTTGCGCCTACGCTCTTAATACAGAATATACTGCTCCTTCGAAGAATGCTTGACTTGATAGGAAGAAACGTATAACAATGTGTTGGGGAGTTTTAATGAATGACAAACCAATTGATTGGTTTCAATATATTTACCTGGTAGCAGCATACATTTAAGGGTTTAGATCGGATTTAACATAACTCAAACTATAAAAAATAAAGCTTAACCTAAAAAATAGTTAGAATATGCGTTAACGTCTGTTGATGCTGCCAATACCCCGTGTTCTCCTTAATAACTTTTAAATACATATCTGGTAAAAATATACAATGAAACCAGTATCGATACACATCAGTAGCAAGGAATTTCATATTAATTGATAACCTACTGTTCTACCGGTCATGGGTAATATGATATTCTACCGACATAGTGCAGATCCCCCAATTTCTGAACTGAAAGAACACGTCAACTTAAGCATCCAAAGAAATTGTTTCAATATAATCTCTTCTTTTGTTGACACATTTCATCCACCGATATTCGGATGCCGTTCTCCTCTTCTGTAATGTTCTCAAAATGCTACAGCGTACTTGCAGTACTCTGCAGACGCAATGGCTTCTTAATTGCACGGAAAACACTGACAAGTACAGAAGGTTTTCAGTTTTGGGAATAAATGGAAGTCTGAGGAGACTAAGTCCGTGGAATAGGCTGGATTTTAAAGAATCGGATAGTGCAGATTCCTCAATTGCCAAAAAACTTTATCAAAGTAGATTGTCTTAGTACCCTGTCCAGATAGAAAATGATTTTTCTTTTTTGTGTCATATCTGTTTTCATAAATAGTTGCGTTCAGAAGAAGTGAGAGTAATATGGTTCAGTTATAGTTTTATCCGGCTCAAGTAGACGATTAGCAAAATTCTTTTTATATGGCAAAAGTTCTCGATGATTTCCAGTATGGTTGCAGTTTTTAGTCTACAAACTTGGTCGCCCATTAAGCCTCGTCATACACATGTATAAACCACAAATCAGTCAGTATTAAACTACATTTTTTATGAAAAATTCTGTTTACCCTTTTTATTTAATTTTCAACACCAAGCGCAGAATAAATAATTAAAACGAATGCCTACAATCAACTATTATGTGTGCTTAAACGTGTACTAATGTAAGGGGTAAATCATTTCGAGTACTTTGAGATATCTAACAAGTCAGATTGTCGTAGTATATCACTGTACCGAGACATATTTCATGCTTCTCTATTACTTAAAATCGTATGTCAATGCATCTCTAAAACTCGCATATTCATTACTGAGATAACTAATCATTTACTTAAGTGTGTGACAGTATTTTGATTTCCGAAGAAATGTCCTTCCACATCGATAAAATATCTGAAAATTCGGGCAAAAATACTAACAAATATTTTTGAGATATGAGTATTCTTTAAAATATAAAACAAAACGAATTTCAACGACTATTCAAGAACTAATTTAACCTGTAGAAGCTTCTGATATTTCCATTTAAGAATGTACACCATAGATTATGATTAAACATGAATATTTTCTGTTCTGTATACGTTGATTTTGTATTACTTGGAAATCTGTAAGGATGTAATAGTTTATCTATAGGTGTTATAGATTTAAAAATATAGGATTTGGATATCCAATTACTAAATAAAATATAATTACCATTTGTCGATTTTTGTAATTCCTCTAAATCGCTTTTTATTTCCGTTCAACTAAACTAACACCTATGCATTGATATATTTATTTTTAAAACCTAAATAAACTGATTTTGTTTACGCTGGGCAAGTATTTTTATCCGAACTTGAATAGTTGAACCGTTTTGTAATTAAAATTAACTTTTTTATTTAGAAGGATGCTTCTATTATTACTTAAGATTGCAATAAACATAAGTGTTCTTTTGTACAAGTTATTTAACTGTTTTTATGTACCTTGATTTTTGTCTTAATGGCGATACTTTTGCTGCATCAAAACCTAATAAATATGTATGTCATGATTTGGTTTTTATTCTCTGTAACCTTTCTTAGACATAGAAAACAGAAAACTAGTTGAAATTAAAACTTATTTAGCGACATTGTGCACTTTTTGGATGGAAAAAAAGTATTAAATATGCGACAGATTTTTGTGACTGTCACCGCTACGCAAATTGATCGCAAAGTCACACAACTCGAGAATCGCTCGACGGATCGTGACGTATGAAGTCTCGTTGGAAAGGGGAGAGGGTAAATCGTACAATGGCAAAAAAAGCAAACATGGTGGCATTGCCAAAATGGTATTACATCATATCTCCTTTGCTACTAGTCCGATTGGAGCGTGTGATCCGTTAAGTGAAAGAGGAAAGGATAAAGATTATACTAAGATAGAAAAACAAACAAAAGTGACTGCCAAAAGAGTACACACAGCATCTTGGCTATTAATGAGTGTATAGTTACATGCGAGATATCACAGGGCACTATGGATGAAAATAGATTTACTATAATATAAATCTTGATTGAGTACAAAATAAATAACTGATCGAATCCTAACATGTGACATAGCAAATGAAAGGGGAGGATATAACGAATATATTAAGATCTAAAAAACAAACAATGCTAGTATTAAAAGGACATTACACAGCATCTTTCGTAGCATCTAATGAAGTTAGATACGAGATTTCATAGGGCACTATGGATGAAAATAGATTTACTATAAGACAATGTTACATTTCGTTTAATTGGTTCCTAAACAAGCGAAATCCAAAGACGAATTACTTTAGCGTGGAACCTTTGGAAAATTGCGAGACACTTAGGGCTAACATACCAATTAGCCTCAAAAGAAAAGTATTTGACCAATGCGTATTTATTACCGGTCTGACCTATGGGGCGGAAACTATGACACTGTGTGTCAATCAAATTCTAGAATATTCACATATGACGAGGGTGTAAGAAGTACTCTACGGAGAATTGTTCATTGTGAATTTTTCATGAAAAATTTGCCGCCATTCTTAAAGTATATACATAACTTCATACAAGGTAATGAGAATATACAGCCGTTGTCTCTTTCTACTTTATACAGATTTCTGAAAGATATTGGATTTGTTTATAAGAAACGTGGCCGAAAAAGCATCATGGCGGAGCGAGAGGATATTATTCATTGGCGCCATAATTATTTGAGAACTATACCACGTTTGCGAAAAGACCATTGCAATATCATATATTTGGACGAATCGTGGGTTAATGTTGGCCAATCTATAAATTACGAATGGTGCAATACTACGATACAAAACAGTCGTGATGCTTTTCTCAAAGGTTTAAGTACTGGCTTAAAAGCACCTACTAAACGAGGTCCACGATATGTTTTATTGCATGCAGGTTTTTCAGGTTTCCTTCCTGGCACACAGCGTGTTTTTCTGGCAAAGAAAAATGATGGCGACTATCACGATGAAATGGATGCCGCATATTTTGAGTCGTGGTTTAAGTAGAGATTAATATCAAATTTACCAAATAATGGTCGCAGGAATGTCATTGTAATGGACAATGCATCGTACCACTCCCGTAAAGAGAGATTGCCTAACAATTCCTGGAATAAAGCTGCAATCAAGAAATGGCTAGTGGAAAAAGACATTTTTTTTCGAGGAGTGTTATTTGAAATCCGAGCTATTAGAAGCAGCGCGTGCTTTTAAAGATCAATACGATAAGTATCATCTTGATGAGTATGCTTCACAACGTAATGTTTATATTTTAAGGCTTCCTCCATATCACTGCGAATTGAATCCTATAGAAATGGTGTGGAACCAAGTTAAGCGATATGTAGGTACCCATAATACCACTTTTAAAAACGACGAGGTACGCCAGTTGATCGACGACGGTTTCGCACGCGTCACAGAGCAAAATTGGCGCAATTATGTCACTCATGTTGTTGAGAAAACGGAAACTGAGATGTGGACTGCGGACAAGCTGCAAGATGACGTAGACCAATTGATAATACACGCGAACACAGGAAAGAGTAGCGGAAGCGAATCCGACATCTCGGATGTAGAGGTCGACTTTAGTACAATTAATTAAATATCTGTGAGTAACCTCGATTATTTTACACTGTATAACCAATAAAATGCATTTACCAGTCCAATCAGAGTATGGGCTTTTGCACGATCCTTTTATGGGATATTGGGCTGGGCGCACGGAAATCGAGTTCCCGGAGGTTCCACCGTGTATATTTATAGCTATCAAGAAATGTAATTTAAAATATATTTGTTAGTTTAATAAAGTATAAATATAATATAATGTTAAATAACTTACGCTATAAACCTTATACCTGCTCATCTGGTCAAGTGTGGGCAAGGAAAACCATTATCCCATATGAAATAACACAAGGTTTAGCTGAAAACTACCAGGTTGCTAGGCCAAGGAACTAGGTAAACTTATGTTGTGTGTAGAAAAATGCGAGACTGCATTATGTTTTAACAAGGACAAAAACTGCACTTCAGATTTCCACAAAAAAAAATTTCATAGTAGGTGTTAAAATTTCGCAGTGATTCAAGTGCGCAACTTGTTTTTTTAATAACATCGCCGGGATTAAAAAATGTGCAAAGCTTTTTCGATTTTCCCGTTCCTGATAATTTTTCACATATTTACAAAAGAAAAAGTTTTTCTTGGATATTGGGCTGGTTGCACGGAAATCGAGTTACCGGAGGTTCCACCCGGTATATTTATAGCTAGCAAGAAATGTAATTTAAAATACATTTGTTAGTTTAATAAAGTATACAGTTTTATAATAAAATTCTCGCTAAAAACTTAAGGTCTTTTTATTCAAATTCATGCCTCTTATTTGGCTACTTGAAGGCAATTATTTTATCAATATATTATTTTGTAATAAATAACAGAGCCGGGCGTAGAGATCTGGGTACGGTTCTGTGACTACCACTTGGACCTGTTTGTATCGCCAAGCACAAGGCGTGAAATCCGGCAATTGTGCATTCGTATATTAGCCGTAGTGCACTCTCGGTGTGACATTTTCTATAGAAGAAATATTCGAGAAGCTAGAATTTACTATGTTTTTGTTTTTAGGTTCTCAGTGTACCTAACTCAGAGATAATAATAAATTTATATGGAAATATGTGCTGCTCCAAATATAAATATTTATAGTCATTGTGCAAATTTTAATTTTGCGATATTTTATGATTTTAACTACCTAATAACTATTAACAACACAAGCGAAAGCAATCGCTTGGGCCCGATAGAATATTTTCCAACACCAATACTCTCGGTCTGTATCTATGTCTGTATAATGCACGCAATTTATTATCTATCTAGTATTTTAAGTTTTCAATCATTCAAACGAACGCAAACAGTGAGGATGCATGGCATATATCGGTCCATATCGGTCCTCGTCGCAAGTGAGGAACAACCGAGGACCGAAAGTAATGAGAGAAAGTATTAGCTGTGAGATTTTGTTTTGATTTAATCTAGATCGGTGCAGTGGGTGGTCGATCAATGGATTTTTATCATGAATCCTTATGAAAAGGAGACCAAAAAAGTGGCCTCTGATGGCGGACATATCCGGAAATGCGAATGCGCCAAATTTAAATTTTCCGACACTTATCAACAGTAGCTATATAACATTTTTCAGAATATGTCTTAGACGAGAAAGTTTTAATTAATTATTAATGATAAGAGTCTAAAATGCGACACAATTGTTAAAAAACTTCAATATAAATAAGATTTCATGTGGCATTTGAGACAAACAATAACATAACCCAATTAAATTTGATGTCAAACAAGGAGAGCGACTCTCTTTCCTTGTTTAATGTGGCCTCTAAAGATCGCACTTACTGTCTAACAATATGTTTGCCCCCACTACCTTTACATTCCCTCTTTTGTATTTTGCTCGATGGTGTGTGTAGAGTAATTGTCTTGATACTTAGCAAAGTCGACGTCATTGTCTTTGCTAAGAGACGCTAATTGTATCCGAACGTCTGCGGTCCCTCCGGTGTGTACCGATCACACAAGGATAGAAATTATTTTCATTTATTAATTTTTTTTTTAATAAACGAAAATTTTCACCCAGGTGGGATTCGAACTCACGACCTTTAGGTTTAAAGGCAGGCGCTCTTACCACTGAGCCACATAGGGGGTCAGTTTTTACTTAAATGATCCCAAAACCGGTCCTGCAACAGTTTGCAGGTTTTAAATTTGCATTCATGACAGTGACAGTGACATATAAATATGTCATATAAATGTAGGTTAGGTGGTGGTTAGGTTTAAATTTAAACTGATTTTAAATTTTAAACTTAGTTTAATAAAAGTACTAGACAGCAAGGTAGGTGTTTTAAACACTGCTTTGCCCAATAAGCAACAAATAAACTATTGTAATTATTTCGGTAAGAATTAAAAAATTGTATTATTTCCATAATTATAATAGTAAGTATTACACACTATTATTCAAAGTGAATAATAATAATAACAGAACATTAGATATTGACGCCGTTAATTTAACTAATATAAAATAGTGGTTTATGGCAAACCTTCATCATTCATAAAATATCAACATAAATTTTTTTGTAAATATTCAATAAAATAGTTAATAGTTGAGTACCATACACAATATGAAGAAAACATGTTTAATTCATTTTTACTTCATTTTAATGTTTATAGCGGATTATAAGTTCATGTTATTAAAAAGAATGGTTCACATAAAATGCAGAGACATATTCTATCCATTTAGCGAGGTTAAGAGATTCCAAATAAAAGATGAACAAGTTCCTTGGTCAGTCATTCTTAATGAATATGATCCACCTGAATACAACTCAAAGGTTCTCATTAATAAACCTTGGGCGGATCCCCCTATTAACGATAGCATTTTTAATCCAAAGTGGAATCAATTAGATGGAAAAATTAACAGGCAAAGCCATACAGGTTTGTTGGAGAATTTTTTAGCTTTTTTAAATAATTAATCTAAAATGTTGTTTATGAGCGTCTACTGATCCAGTAAAATGTTGTATAGGAAACAAGTTTACATATCTTACTTACTTTGTTAATCCATTTGTGAACTATTAGAAGAATAAGTTAGAGGAATTATTAATGACATGAAACATTTTTTATCTTTATGCTCTGTTCCCGTTGATGGGTTTTCATGGAAATCAAATGTGATTTTGCCCACATTGAATTTTAAATATTTAATATTTTACATTTCTTTAATTTATAGACACATGCAGGACTTTCAAACCTGCAAATATCATATTTATCCTGTCAATCTGGTCTTCTAAACAATGGGTTTGTTCATATTCCTATATTATATCTATTTAACCTTGTGTTGTGGTGAATGGATTTATTATCGCGAGTCATATAAACACAAACACTGTGTGTTGTTTAGTTAATTGTAGAAATTTTGAGACTTTCTCAGATCTAATAGAATATACAGCCTTAACTTACAGACCAGAAATAGTGGATTTGATCTGTGCTACTAAATGCTTTTAAAAATTCCCTTCATGTGTTTACCTAATACAGTTTTTATGTAGCAAAATAAACAGTACTGAAATGAATATTGAAATGTTTATTATTATTTATATATTTAGTATACATATGATATAGCTTTGCAAACATTATTCATGAGGATGTTATTGATAAAAAAGATGTTCAACATGTTCTCTATTCAGTTTCAAGTTTTCATAGCTTTCATAAAGGTTCTCAATCATGTAGGTGAACAAAGGTTGTTGAATGACACCAAAGAAAACTTAAATTTTAGTCCACAATTCTGGATGTCAGATGGTGAATTGGTATGAAAAACAGCCTCCTTCAGCATTCAACATGTGTACGCATTAGGCCTGGTGAGTGTCTGACTATGTGGCAGGTTGCCCTATCCTGCTGAAACTATTGTTGATTAAGTGGTATGTTCCTGCATGACAGAATTACTGAAGATCATGTGGAAATGGTGTGATCTCCATAGTGCTTCTGATTAACAGTTAACGCTGTTCCATTGTTTGCTTTAATGAAATACAGACCCAATATGCCATGTGTGGATACAGCACACCAAATGGTAACACAGTCAGTGTGAAGAGGGTGATCAGTGATTACGTTGGGGCAATTGAATCCAAGAAAACGTGTTGTCTGCTTCTTAATGCCTCAGTTTAAATAAGTCTGGCTTTCATCGTAAAACAAAATATTTGATAAGAACGACACATTCTCATAATACATAGCTAACACACGTGCGCAGTATTCAACTCTTACACGTTTATTAGCTGCTCATAGAACGCTGTCCGGTTTTTATTTTGTATGGAAACCTGGGCGATCGAGCACTGTTATTCAATTTTAATGATGTTCTTCTGAGGCTTACGGTGATTAAGAACACACCCGTGATTCGTATTGGTTATATACGTCACCTTAATCTTGGCACACTTCTCATACTACGAAAGTTGTACTCCACGATAAAAACTTGAGAACCATTCTGACGCACCTAACATTATTACGACATGCAAATACGTTATAACGACGTTCGGAAACTACTCAGTACATTTCGATGCAGATAAAAAATTTAATGCATACACATTTCAGTACATTTATATTGCTGCGTACCATATATAATACAAGTTTCTCCCTGTTTCTAAGTGAGCTTTTTATAAAAATTGCTGAAAGTTACATTGCACAAAAAATGGAGACATCATGATTAAATTAGAAAATTGATATTTTAAAGTATCCCCAACAGCTGTGTATGTGTCATTCATAGATATTTTTAATAAAAGCCATAACAAATTAAAATATTGTTACACATCGATAGAGAAATGATAAAAAACATTTTTATTCACCAACAAATAATGAAATATTTGTTTGATAAAGAATAATCTGAAACAGGTTGTGGACAATAATAGATTTATTTTCCTTCGTTTTCAGCTGAACATCTCTCATCATCCAAAGATTATATTTTGCTTCTATCCTTTTGTTGTGTAAATTCTATTTTGTGGTCAGATTCATATAACTTAAAATATTTTATCCATTCAAAATCAGAATCTAATCGTTATAATTCTGTAGAGATTTGAAATTATACTAAAATATAAATGGAAAGAAGGGTTCTTGTGCATAGACAGGAATTTTCTTTTTTCAGGTACTTACAACATTGTTGATGGCAGACCACTAAATCCAGAAGGAAGAACAGGAATTACAGGAAGGGGTGTTCTAGGTAAATGGGGACCAAACCATGCAGCAGATCCGGTTGTTACAAGGTGGAAAATGGATAACAACTTAAAAGTCATAAACAAGACTACAAATTTACCCATTCTTCAGTTCTGTGCTATTCAAAGAAAAGATAGTAAACAGTGGGCTATACCAGGAGGTATGGTGGATCCAGGAGAAAAAGTAAGCTTAATAAAATTTTCCTATAAGTTTCTTTCTTTAAATTGTTTTAAATTTGTACCTAAAATTGTATATGAACCATTTCATTATTTGCTCATTGTTAATTTCAATTTGATCTTTACACCATGCCTCTCAAAGATAAAGGAGCATGAAGTTTCCAGTTTTTACCCAGTTCTTATTTCATTTTAATGATAATAATAATAACATGACGCTTGGATGCGTACAAACATTTTTCTGAGATACTCGAGTATACCACATCATCTATGGCTCAATAACACGAAAAGAGCACCCTAAAGCTCAATTCTTCTGATACATATGAAAAATGTGCAAAACTTGAAAACGCTCAACATAAATACGTAGGCGGTTCAATAAGTATTTAGCCTCACCGCCTAATGACGCCACTATCGTAAGAGAAATCTATCATGTAATATGTTCTCAGAGACATCATCATCATTGATGATGATGTCTCTGAGACATAGACAACCCTTTCTGGGTCCTGGCTTGTTCTAGGATTTTCCGCCATTCTGTTCTGTTCCTTGCTTTGTTTTTCCAGTTGGTAGTCTTAAGTGTTTTCAGATCTTGTTCCACTTGTTCCATGTATCTAATTTTGGGTCTTCCCTTTGGTCTTCTCCTTACTAGTGTTTGCCTCATTATATGTTTTGGCGTTTCAGTCTCCAACATCCGTTCAACATAGCCCATCCAGCGCAGATGTCCGATCTTTATGGTTATGATCTCGGGTTCATTGTATGCTGTGTATAGTTCAAAGTTATATCTTCTGCGCCATATGTCATTTTCCTTTACCCCCTTATATATGTGTCTAAGGATTTTTCGTTCAAATGTACCTAATAGGTTCTCATCGCTTTTCGACAATGTCCATGTCTCTGATCCATATAGATACAAGGACCGGTTTTATCAGGGTCTTGTATATTTTGCATTTGGTTTTTCTTGTGATGTTGTTAGATCTTTAATCAGTCCATTATATGTATGTTTTATTAGCGATATGTATTCTTCTCTTAACTTCTTCACTGATATTGTTATCTGCGGTAACTAGTAAACCTAGATATGTAAAACTTTTCACGCTTTCGATGTTATAGTCTCCTATTGCTAGATTCTGTAGGTTTCTTTCGCCTGTCGATTTACTGAACGTTGGTTTTTATTTCGTTAATGTTTAGGCCACTGTTTTGTGCCGCTATTTCTATCGCATTAAATGCTTTTATCATCTCTCTTTCCCTTCTAGCTATGATATCAGCATGTTCTCGTAGACAGCTAATGTCAAAATTTCAGCCGAATCGGACTTTGTTTTGACAGTATGTGAAAAGGGCGAATCCTCGAGTCACAGGTCGCTAACTGAAGGTAAGCGAGACAGCTGAGACAGTAGGCATTTCAAAAGACCGTGTGGGTCATATACTGCATGAAATTTTGATCATGAGTAAGCTGTCGGCATCATGGGTGCCGCGTTTGCTCACTCCGGTCAACAAGCGCATCCGTGAGACCACTTCAGAGCAGTATATAAGCGTAATCCGGAGGAGCTTCTGCGCCATTTTGTAATCTTCGACGAAACGTGGCCACAGTTCTTGGATTTAAAGTTGTGATCTACATGGACTACCTGGAGAAGGGGAAGACGGTCACAGGGCTCTACTATGCCGAATTATTGGGCCGATTCGACGGCTAATTATAGAAGAAAAAAAGTGCTCTTCCACCATGACAACGCTCCGGCTCACACTTTCACCATCGCCATGGCCAAATTGGTAGAATTGGGCTATGAAGTGCTGCCCCAAGCTCCATCCATCGGAGCTTGGGATAACTTTAAAACCTCAATATCATGCTTGTGCAGTATTGTGAAACTGCAATGTAATAACAGTACAGTATACTTACCAAATATAATTTTATGTTAATTGAATGCAACACTAGATAATGTTCTTTAATACTTAGTGCACAGTAAGCTGGCAAACTAATCTGTATTACTAATCATATAGAATATAAAATGGACAATGCTTCTGATAAACTAAATTTTATTTAAAATGTTGATGACTGCTGATTCAAAACCTTTAAACAACTTCAAAGAAATTTGAAGAAACTAAACAAAGCATTTCAAATAAGTGCAAAGTTGTTTGTTTTTTGAAATTGCAATTGAAACCACAGTTAAAAAATTAATTTTTCTATTTTACCATTTTGTATAGCACTAGCAGAAAAAAAGAGCTTATTTTGGCGCCTGCAGGCCCGTTATCACCGGCCCTGCCTCTAATGATATACATACTTTTCCATTAAAATATCACCATTAAAGGGTGTTTTTTTCATCAAGGCAACATCTGTATATATTTTTCTAAGCTTAAATTAAATTTTAACTTGAAAGTTACACATTTTTAAGACTTTATATGGTTCTCTCAAAGTTTTCGGTAGACAGTTGTTATAGAAACGTTAGTATTCCATGCACATTTCTTAAAATATTTTTCACGATCTTTTATGAAGAAAAACAACCAAGTTTAAACCAATTTACCAATGTAGAGTTAATATTTTTAAAGTGTCCTTAAAAATTATAATTAAACTTATTTAAAAGTATAGGTTTTATATAGCGGAAAAGTACTAACGGTGAATTTATATCTTGTAGATTATTTAAAAATAAGCATTATCAGCAAATCTGACTGACGATAACTTGGTAAAAGAAAATAAGTTTATAAAGTTTAAATATGAGTAGTGTATTTGTCTAAATCCATACTAACAGAAAACCACGTGTTTTATATAAATTATTTAACTGACCCATTTGTATCACAACGTTTGTCTCGCAAGAATTTTTAATCTACGTTTATTTTTATTTGCTGCTTCCTTTTGGTCCCTTTTACCCGTTCTTCTTCTTCTATTTCCATGACCAGTTTGATCGGTGGATATTACGCTACCTACCACATTGGTTATCATGGCTTTATTTACAGCTGCTCTAACTGATTACGTAGACTAAGTCTAAATAATGATGTGTTCTTGGTTCATCTGTGCAAGAAACTCCCTATTTCTAACTCTGCCTTCTAGTTTATCTTTATTATTTTTATATATTATTCACAGCTCTTGTACATACAGCCTTACTTGGCGTTCACGCCTCTACTTATATACAAACTGTCATTCTAACCCGATGATCAAGACCAAGATGTCTGTAGGACGTTGCAACCATCAAACAACCCATCAGAAACGGTGGGTGCCAATGGATAATAATATAACTACATTCGAAAGTTGGAAACCAATGTAGAACAATAAAACTCATAACTTTCTTTGGGAGCCAATTGTTAGGCCTCATCTAGTTCGGTTTCTCAGATGTGAAGACATCTTATCTTAGAAGTAAATCAGAAAAATGAGATTGGCTAGGACAAATAAACTAAGGTATTAACTAATCTTATTTATTAAACATAAAAAAATATAAAATTCAAATTTTAATATTAAATTAAAATAAAAGTTAATATTAACTAAAGTCGGGCCCACCGAGAAGGCGGTACAGCCAGGGCACGGCGATGTAAGGGGCTCGGCGTCGACCAGACCAAAGAAGTAATTTTTACTGAGCAAAGAAATTACCTAGAATTAAAAACAAATTTAAACTACATAACAAAATAACAGCAATAAATCACAGGAGTCAAATAATGTAGCGGAAACATTTGCCTACCACATCGGGTATTACTTATAGGGGGTTGTAACTGGGGACAGAAATTACTAGACTGGAGATAGGGTAAGCAAACAAACCGAAACGTCTGCGAACGGCTACTCTTGGTTTGGTTGGAGAGCTGGGTTGTAAGAAAGTGAATAAAACAGGGATTGGAAAGGGGTAACTACAAAATGAGAAATCAAAAAGTACTTACATGGATTTCCTGGACAACACAACACAAGAAGGTTCCTAAACTATTTAAATTGGACGACGTTTACAACAATCTTCCTGCTGGATGGAAATAAAGGCTTTTCTTTCCTAAAAAATATAAAAAGGGTTAGAATCTTTTTAAAGTAAATAATACTACACTTGGTTTAGGGAGAAACATCACATATTTATTATTACTTCACCATAAACATTTAATTCAAATAAAATTAACAAAATGCAAACACAACTTACATTGGTGCTATTCATTTACAACAAACTCTAGACGTTGGGGACATTATAAGAATTTAAATTATTATTAAATTGAAAATATCTAGATTTTTCAAAAAAGCTTACATTGAGGTAAACTTTGAAACACAAACAAAACAATTTAAAATTTATTGTTATGTACTAAATGTCCGAAGAAGATAATGCTAACTGTGATATGTCAAGATTGAAATATCAAAACTTTTTGAAATATTAAATAATTGTAAAATTGTTTGAATTTAAAAATATGGCAATTAGGCAATCCATAAAATTTATAATTTTATTTATTACAATTTTTAAACTTGTCATGAAAGTAATTATTAATGAAAACTGTCTATTTTTATTTAGTAAAATTTCAATAAAAAGTACCTTGCATCAACTGGCTGATGTATTTCCTTTAAGAAATTCTTGGGATTAGAATTGGATTAACTGCACCGCAAACAAACACAAATGCGTCTCACAAGCTGCAATGTGGTCTGAAATGACCACGAAGAACAAATAGACGATTCTTTGAAGTTGGGCAGTGGATTCGGGCATCGGATTATCTTGTTGCAATCTTCAAAAACTACGCCACTTAAGTTCTTGCTCGAAAACCATGTGGACCTCTTAAATTGTTGTAACGCTGTTTTGAAATCTCCCACAGTAGATACAATACAACACATACAACAAATGGGTGATTAATTCAACAAAACTGCCACATTGACATTGATTAAATTCACCTCTCCACAATAGAAATTTTGCTGGCTTTTTAGATTGCTCACGCCGCATCTTTTCCCTTCAAGATCTTAACTCCAACTTAAACTTTACACCTTGACTCTGTACTGGCTCCCTCTGGCCTTCATCAACCCACCGGTCAGTAAAAGGGACTGGCCAATCGGAATTCTGTTTAACGACGCTTTTCAGGGGAAATTGAACTTTGACATTGCTTGACTTTAAAAATTGCAGAAGTTAAAACGTAATATAGAACGTAACGCAGACACTTAGGTCACAATATAAACAAAAACTCAAGGAATTTTATACATAGCCAGGGGCGTACCAAATATATCTTATACATTAAATATTCAATAGTTATAAGGGATTTATCACAGCCACCTTTACTTCCAAGCCATGAAGTAAAAAAGGCAACACCGCATTCTATGACGTCGGTAGTCCGATAATCAGCTGTAAGGTCTACCAGAAAATAAACTAATTTGAATTTTAGGAAACTGATATTTTGAAAATTTCAATTCATTACAGAAATATTTTTAGGGAAATTAAATAATAAAACCTTATATTTACCCAATAAATATATATATATATATATATATATATATATATATATATATATAAAGTTTTATTATTATTTAGGTTATATTATCAATAAAATAATCACTAGAGTAAAATTTATTGCACTTAAAATACAGTGTCAAACAGTTAATCTTACAATCAAATGCAGTCAAGAATCTCTAGAAATTTTAAATATTAAGTACTTAAGCATATAAATAACACAATACATTAACACGACATTTAAAAAGATTATTAAAAATACAAAAGATATAAAATTTGTTCAGTAAAAACTTAGTGTAACTATTATGATTAAAAAATTCATCCTAAGAAATCAGACACAATATAAATATGGTTCTAAATTAATCTAATTGAAAATTAAATATTTTACTATTTACTTATAACTTTTGTTGAATTTTCATACTTAGGTATACGAAAGTAGCAATTTTAAATATGAATAGGTTTTTTGTCATATAGACCAAGTTAAGAGAGGTATACATGAAAAATGTGTTGAATGTAACATACCATTTATAACTTGTATATCGATTTAAAATAGCCTATATTCTCAAAATATTTTTGAATGTAATACTCAAATTTGTTATCACTTATTTAAAAAGCAGATCTAAATGAGAAAGTAAGTTCTCTAATTGTGACCATCTTGTTAATTTACTATATTGTAAAATCCATTTCAAATCATTACTACTTTCTTTTCTTACTATTTATTCTTACCTACATTGACGATTACACTAAAATTACTGCTAACTATTACACTATGTATTACACAAATATTATCACACTTGAGTCCCAACTGATTAATGTTTAATACATAGAAATATACACAGTCACTTGTAATTTTACTTGTCCAGTTTTTCAATGGGATATTATTGTCTAAGTCTAATTGTCATAATTATGTTATCTCTTGTTCCCTCTTCTTATGCAAAAAGTTTTTTCTGTCTTCGGGATTCCTTCTTTCTTTAGTACGATGAACAGCTACACATGATGGTACTTCAGGAAATATATTAGGAACTGCATTGCCTTTTAATTTGGGAAATATTAACTTTTCAATGTGTACATTTCCATCTTTATCTTCTCATTGTTCAGTCCGCTGAATATTATCTTCATGAAAATGTTTGGCACATACTACGGAAGATTTTTTAATTGTATAGCCAGCCTTCTCTATGAATAGAGCATAACCCAGTATACCATCTTTGGGGATCTTTGGGAAACGAAAACGTACTTTCTGCCTGTTTCGTTTTTGAAGTACTGGCATAATTGGTTTTGCAACCAGGTACACAACAATGCCAGAGTATCTGTAACAAAAAACAAAAGTATTATTATTGTTTACATATTTTGTAACAAGAAGCAAAAGTATTATTATTTTCAGTTTGTTTTGTAGGTTATATTTATACTTGCCTTTTAATTTGTCATTAAGAATCTTCTAAAAGTTCTAAATTTAATGAAATTTCACTTATATTAATATTTTCTAATTGATTTAAACACAATTTACAAATAAAACATTCGAATAAAGTTTAAAAAACAATAAATTCAACAAACTTTACAAGCCTTCCTATATGAAATGTTAAACAAAACAAACCACGGTCGGACTACCACGCGTTGTTGCCAAATTTCTACTTCATGGCTTGGAAGTAAAGGTGGCTGTGGATTTATACATTCTAAAAGATTTACAAAAAATCAAACATTTATGTAAAATGCTGCCTGTAAAATATTTAATATTGTCATAGATTGTATAATAAGCATTTTAACCAGAAGATTTAATGCGGCAAATGACATTTTATGGACATTCCGTGATAAAAATAACAATATTAAGAACAAAAATTGATATATTGTGCGAGTTTTATAAAGAAGACATTGAAAAATTGATAGATGAAATTTTTCATTTGAAAGCATATATTGGTGAATCTCAACTTTCTCCAATAGAATTACTTAATAAAATTAAACATCCCATCCAATTGGAATCATTATTTCCTAATTTCGTTATTGCGTTAAGAATATTTTGCACATTACCGATGAGAGTCACAGAAGCGGAAAGATTCTTCAGTTGTCTTTCTCTCATAAAAAATGCCATGAGATCTACAATGAAGCAATTTCGGTTAACTGGCCTAGAAACTTTGTATTTAGCATGATTTGGTAAAATCCTGCGATTTTTCGAAAATTATAGACATCTTTGCCAATCAGAAATCTTGAAAAGCACCTCTATTATAAATTAATATTTTCATTATTATATCGACGACACGTACTCGCCCGCCGTATGCTTTTGATTCTGCAAGGGCGAAAAGCTATTTGTTTATTGCTTGTTAACTCAATGAAAAAGAATGTTTCTTCCATTTTTTTCAATAGTAAATTGTGGAAATAGGTTCAAGTTTTCTATTTATGTACAGCTTTTAGAGAAATATGGATCATATGTAAAAAGTTATGGGATTAAAATGTAGGTTAAATCTTCGATTTCTCGACTTAAAATGTTAAAAAAAATTGTAAACCATAAACTTTTTATATATAAATGTCACCTATTCAGTATGTCTAGCATGCACTGCCTAATCGTAGAAATTACTTTTCTTAGCCTCATATTTTTTTTATGGCTCTATATAAACCTAAGAGTAGAATTTAACTTATAGTGTTTTAGGTGAACGAGACACTTCAAAGAGAATTTCAAGAAGAAGCCCTAAACAGCCTACAAACATCTAAAGAGCAGGCAGAAAGAGATGCTCAATTAATAAAAGATTTTTTCAAAACTGGCGTAGAAATATATAAAGGGTATGTGGATGACCCTAGAAATACTGATAATGCATGGATGGAAACAGTGGTTTACAATTTCCATGACGATGACGGTCGCCATGTTGGAAAGTTTAATTTGACCGCGGGTGATGATGCGCAAAATGTTACGTGGATGGATGTCGATAGAAATATAGATTTGTATGCAAGTCATTCCAGTTTTATTAAAGCTGTTGTGGATAAATTAGGAAGTCACTGGTGAGATATTTAGGCCATAAAATAAGAATCAATTATACATATTTTCTACACGATAAAGATATTTTATTTTTAATTGTTATTTATAAACCTACTTTTAACAATCTTGTAAATATCGAAATGTTCAATAAACAACAAAATTCGTAGAAAAAACGCGGACCTAAACAAGAACCTAAAAAATACACCCATTCCAGAAGGCAAAATATTTCGTATAAGTTTCATTAGCAAAATCATGATACTATCAGATAATTATACTTTTAATACAAGCATAAAGCTTTATTTACGTTAATAATCAACAACAAAAAAGATGTTAAAAAAATTAACAATAAGTCAGAAAAAGGAAAATTAACCCGACGCCGATTTGGTGAGATATCACATGCCTCAGTGAGTTTAAAAATGTGCCAATAATTTTATCTGCAAATTAGCGCCACCTGCGGTTCAGTACCTTTCGTTAGAAACTTAAATCAGGTCTCGCAGTTGCCGGTTTACTTAAAAAAGTCTGCCACTCACGTTCCAACGGCGTTGGAACGGCGGTTCTACCATCCATAAATTAATAGAGTACCGGCATGTACCTAAGTAATGTTTATTTATTTGCTCATTTATTAATTTATGACAATCTAATAGACTATTTTATAACAATTTGTGGGTCTTACCTTGTCTGTTTAAACTTTTTATACCTTTTTATTCATTTTGAAAAAAAAAACACAGACATGTAATATTGGCATAATTATTGTAATTTATAATATCTAATTTGTTTATCTTTATTAGACAATACCCTAATATGGGTTTTTATCATTTCAGCATTTATTTTACTTTGTATCGAGACCTGAAGATGCTTTGCATATTGTAGAAAGCGAAACCGGTCGTCTGAATAGTTAAATTAAATTGATTGTGAGTAAGTCTTATTTATTATTTCTTTACCTATTTTAAAGGAAATATATTTATATAGCTGTCTTTTGCCAGATTACAGCTTCTTTATTGTTAAAATACTCCATAAAATTGTTTTTTGTAACCTTTTCAATCTGTGACAAACTTTGTTGTAAATCAATAAAATCATTTGAGGTAGCTCGAAGACCTACTGTAACATTTTGTTCTCAACAGATTGTGGTCAGACACAACATGCCATCACTATCATCTCAATTGCTTCTAAATTAACATTACTTGCCGTATGAAATATTCGACACGTAGCAGCCAGAATCCAGAATTCCAAAAATGTTTTCGAAGTATTCGACGTGTTCGTGCCAGTCTCTAGTTGAAAATAGCTTTCTCTGAGGAAATGGTTTTAGCAAGTTTTCCCGTAACGAAAAAGCATCATAAATACGTAGAATCAGTTCACTGTTTTATAACTTTTCTGGTTTAAGTATTTGCAGAGTTCCTCCCCCCTCAGAAAATTCTTCCATTTGACCCAATACAGTAGATAATTTCATAATTGGCATTTTATAAGGCCATAAGCATCAAACTGTGAAATCCTTTATAAATATGAAAATAGTTGCCTGTATTAGCTGGTAGAATTATCTGCACATGCTTTCCGTCAATCGCACCCAAACATTGAGGAAAGGAAATTCCATTTTTCATTGAAATCATTTGCAATACACTTACATTCGCTTTCAGTTTTTGGAAACTGGAACAAAATATATTGTTTTATACGGTAATTATTAAACGTAATTTCATAGTATTTATGCTGCCTCTCATATCGACCCCTTTTAAATAATCTTTTGCAAAGGCTTGAGGAGAGATGACAGCGAAAAACTTCAAATACTCGTAGTTTCTTCTCGTTGCTAAAAATCTAAAATTGTAATAAAATTAATAATTTTTTTTGAAAACTGAATCCCAGTTATATTACGCAATTTTAGCGTCGAGTGACACATATTTAATTTATTAATGTATATAATTATGTGTAAATTATATAATTGGTACTTACCTTAAAGTTGTTGACAGTCTTTCATGTGGTGTTATTGAAGAATACATACAACTATGTCCTGCTTCTGAATAAGAGGTGTTATTGCTGATAACAATTCAATATTCAAAGGTAATTTCTTCAATATCTGCATATAATCGCAATTCTTTTTATAAATGTACGTGACTGTATGTACCTATGTCTTTTCAGCAACCAATCTTTGCACCACCACCGTTTCTTATATTATTTTCGTTTATACAAAGAGCAAGAGTCGCTAAAAGTATATCGTTATCTGACACGTTTCCATCAAGAACTACCATCAAGATACAAGTGGAGAACTTTTTGAAAACTGGTTTCAAAATTATCTTTTAAAGAATATCCCCAACAATAGTGTCATTGTAATGGATAACGCAAGCTATCACAGTCGTCAGCTTCAAAAAGCTCCAAACAGAGCAAGTACTAAAAGTGAAATTCAGGAGTATTTGATAAAAAATGATATCTATTTTGAATTTAGTTACAAGAAAGAGCAACTACTGGAAGTGTTAAATACTTTTGCTATTAAAAAGCAATATGTATGTGACAACTTAGCAGAACAGATGGGACACACTGTGTTACGTCTTCCTCCATACCATGGTGTATCCAACCCCATTGAACATATGTGGCACCAAGTAAAAGCAAAGGTAAGAGCGGAAAATGTCTTTCCTACCCTGAGTGCGATTGGAGTCCGCCTCTGATGCCCTGTCATAGATTTGATTAAAACTGTTATAAATAAGATATCGGTTGAAAGCTGGAAAAATTCAGTACAGCATATTGTAAAAGTTGGACATTCTTATTTGTCTACGCAAAGTTTTAATATACAGTACATTGTGATTAATCTAAATGATGACTCCGACAGTGAAACAGAATTGGTCTTAGAATAACAACACAGAATAATAATCAATATTAATTTAGTTTAAATATCGTATTGTTGTTTCAAATATATATAATATAAGTATTAGAATAACAACATAGATATTTAATAATCATTAATTTTTAACTTTTACAGTATAGTTTAAATATCTTATTGTTATCACTCAGCATTAAATATAAGTTTTAAAATACTATTAAATAAATGTAATTTTCTTTACAATAAAATAGATGCCTCGAAAAGAAATTGCTATATTATTATTTTTACTTGGAGTCAGCCTCTGATGCCCTGTCATAAAATACCTATTAGATGGAGATTGCACGCCATACACACTACGGTCTACCTGTGCAGGCACAGAGTGCAGGTATGTCTGTACAGGTCAACGAAACAGCGGTAGCGTGTATGGGGACTCTCCGGTGTACCGGTGCGGTCTTCAGTTCCTTTAGCGATGACGCGTTGGCATTGTTAGGCCTTGTTTTAATTTTAAAGAGAAAAGTTAAAAAACAGTGAAAAACAAGCCAAGAAAGTGGTGTAAGTATTGGTTGTTGAAAAGGAAAACATACAGTCGTGTTAACTTATTGAATGAATTCAAATTTGAACCAGAAGATTTTAAAAATTATCTCCGTATGGACAAGAAAACATACATCAAATTACTAGAAATGGTTACTCCTATGATAAAAAAGAAAGACACAGTTATGAGAAATAGTATTTCTGCACATGATAGATTATTAGTTACGTTGAGGATTTAAAATTCTCAGCAATTATTTCATCTCGATTATTGTAATCGTTGTTTTTGATTTTCCAAAGACTTGGATGAATTCTATAAATTTAGATAAATTCTTCAAGCGTTTTTTTTTAGTTGAAACTGGTGGCACCATTTTCTGGGGTTAATTAAGGAGTGGTGTGACAATACGATGCGAACGACAAGACGACTTTTCCAGAGAAACACTAGAAAACAACTGACACGACCTGCGCAGGCGGCCGGAGTACACGCACAGGTACATCGTACGGTGTCACTCGAAAAAATTGATTTTTGATTTTGCTCCGGTCGCCTGTACAGGTTTAAAAAACTGCACAGGTCTATTCCCACACACGTTCAGGTCTACCTGCGCAGGCATGCCTGCACAGGTAGACCTCTCCGGTAAACCGTAGTATGTATGGCGTGCATAAGACAATAATCAGGTAAAATTCAAGACGATAAACATTGAGACAGGCTTTACTACAATTGCATTCGACAAAATCGTACTGCGCCGTTAAAATGTGAGTGGCGGGCTTTTAGGAACACAATTTGTAAAAAAGCTCTTTGAAGCATCCGGTGGTGCATTGTACTTCTTACTATTCAGTTAAAAACGATTAAAATGTATTCTGTATGTTGAGGTTTTTCGCAAAATTCTTTTATTTTTTTTCTATTTTCTGATTTTTTATTATTCGTTAAACAATGAGTAAGGCTTTTTAGGCTTTAGGAAATAAAGGTTACTAAATATATTGGCACTCATTGTTTTAGAATATCTAATAGAAAACACTGTAACGATAATATTTTGCTTACCTCAGGGTAAGAACATGAGGGGTAGAAGATTGGGCAAACAAAATAATCGTAACAAGTGCGATATGTAACGATAAATATTTTGCCTACCACATGGGGTAATAATACAAAGGGTAGGAAATTGGGGGGAGAAACTATTGGGGGTGGAGATAAGGCAAGCAAAATAATCGCTACTGATGCGAACGGCACTCAGGGTTTCGTAGGAGAGCTGGGGTCGTGGATAAGTAAAAGATGGGGGCATTGGAATGGGGAAACTACAAAAAAAATGAAATAAAGGGCTCTTGGGATAAACAAAATAAAAATAAACAAGAAACACCTCAAGGAATTTAATATAGGGCGCCACTTGAGGTGCCTAATTATGCCTATTACAACCACTAGTTGTAACTAGGGAAATAATTAGAAAACAAAATCAAAACATAAAAAACATATCTTTTTCAAATAAAATCAAAAAAGGGTTAGCTCAAAAAAAATAAATAAAATGTTAAGACAACAAAATTTAACATTTATTTATGTGTCACCACAAACAGTTACATGGAGAAATACAGATAAATACATTCAAAAACTTACATGTGTCATCCATTAACAAACTCCATTGCTACAAAACTTACAAAATTGCATGGAGGTTAACCTTTTAAAATAAAAACAAAACAAATCAACTTCAAAAATACTAAAACGAGCTGTCATAAATTAACATTAAATTTCAAAAAA